TATTCTTAATTATCATCTAATTATAAATCACTACAAAAAAATAACATATTTATAACAAAAATTAGGGACATATGACATTAGCTATGTAAACTTTAGGGACGGAATTTCCGTCCTAATGTCAGTAGTATCGGAAAAGGTGAATTTAGAGACAAAAAAATATTGTTAAAAAAATTCTATTTTATTATATTACATTCCTTTTAGACATATTTCACTAATATCAATCATGTAATTTTTTATTTGACAAAGAAAATTAAAACATACATATATATATATATAAATAATTAAACATTCATTACTGCAAATAATTGGATAGCACTACTAAAAATTTTCATAAGACTATCAACAAACCAAGGAACAAACAATCAAAGGATCAAGACATAATTCCAAAAACTTCACAAAAAAATCAAAGAAACATCAATATATTTCAAGATTATTAACCAATCATCAAGAATCCATAGCCAATTAAATACCGAAAGTTTCAACATATTATGAACCACATTTTCTTCAAGAAAAATAATATACCAAAAAAGTAAAGGGAGATGATCTTTTACCACGGGTCGAGTTCAACCAAACTCGAATAAAAAAATTAAAATATCACAATCGGTAGTCAGACTCGAATACTATTGTTGTGAATTTATATCCTGGATCGTTGAACTTTGCAAATCAAACATCGTAAACAAATATACAAATTGAGCTAGACACATAAATGAACAAAGAATTGGAGTTAGAGTAAAATGGTATAGGCTTTATAGGTTTGTGTTTGGATAAGAGCTAAAAGAATTGGGCTAAATTCGATAAGCCGGGCTAAGGAGTGAACAAACTCTTTCAATATTATCATGGGACATATTGGATTAGGCTTCCAACAACAAAAAATTTTAACAACATAATTATTTTTTATTTAAAATATCACATTTAAACTATTAAATTTTTACTAATTGTGCATACAACCCAAAAAATAAAGTATGTTTAGATATGTTCTAAACACATTTAAGAGTTCTTGTAATATAATTCAAAAATAAAAAATAAAAATCCCATTAAATAATTATTTTCTATCCCCATTAAATAATTAGTTGCCCATTAAAAAAAAAACTTTTAGTTTGATGCTCTTCCACCTGAGCTATCACCGCAACATAATTATTTATATCTTACATATGCATACACACTATATATATTCAGTTATATTATATATATACACAATTATTCACACTGTCATCCAAATTTTTTTTTTTTATTATTCAAATTTATTCATGTTTCATCTTTTAGTGAAATAATACTATTTTTCTATTTTTTTTTTTACTAAAAAAATAAATTTTTTTATTTTTATCTATTTTTTTTTTAAAATTCAAATGAGCACACAATTGTACTAGGAGCGAGTATATTAGAGGCCACTGAGGAGGACAGGGCCGCGGATCCATAGACACGTCGTTACTTTTGTTTATTGTTTGACAGTTTTATTAATAGGCAGGCCAACGAGTTAGTTGAAATTAATAATTATATTCAGATTAATTTTAATAAGAGGGCAGAGATCATTTACACCTGCATGTGCTCCATCTATATTTTTTTCTCTTTATTTTTTGTTTTGTTTTTATAACAGTAAAGGGATATTATTATTATTATTATTATTTAAAATTTGAAGTTATTTATTCTCTGCTTTTCTTTCATATACTCTCTCCGTCTCATAACAAAGTATTCATTTTTTTATTTTAGTCCGTCCCATAACAAAGTATCTATTTCCTTTTTTAGCAACTGTACTATCTACCTAACATTACAAATACCTTTACAACTTACAATATATTACACAAATGTCATTACCTTTATATCACACATAGTAATAAGGTTATTTTAGTCATTTCTATTTTATTCATACTATATTCTAATATAATATTAATATTTCTAAAATTACGTGCAAAAAGCAAATGGATACTTAATTTCGGGACGGAGGGAGTATTTCAAATTTCAGTGGCAATTTTATCTATAAAAGTGTGAAGTTATTGTACCTAAATAATAAAAATTCTAAAAAATTCTATGCACCAAAATGATGCAACTTAATATTTTTAAAAATATATAAAATATCTTTAATTGTTATTGTACCTTTAAATGACTAATATCAAACCGCTATTTATCAAATATTTTGGTACAAACATTTAACTAGTCAAATCAACTAATTTAATCAGCTAACAACTACCTACTAATTGAATAAGCTATCAACTAATTATTGCCAAACACCCGATTAGGTCATGAAATGAAATTCATGCATGGAGTTTTGTTTGAATATGTATAGGTTGATGAAACTTACTCATATCGAGTCTAGCCACTCCAAAAGCGACGTAAATTTGTGTGCACAAACTTTCACCTTTCGAGCGAAATTGTGACTCATTGTAACCAAGGCTCTAAAATGACCTTTTTGAATTAAATTTTATTTCATTCTATATAAGTTGAGTAAAAATGCTCATATCTAGAAAAAAATTTAGGTACTAAAATGCCGCCCAAAAAGTGAGACTAGTGTGTGCGCATGCCCAAGCCATTATATTTTCTAGTAAAATTTCGACTCATCGTAAGTAGAACACAAAATGAGCTTTTTGAATAAATTTTTTAATATGTATAAAGCGATGAAATGTACGCACATCCTGAAAAATATATAGGAACTCAAACACCATCCAAAAAGTGATACATGTGTGTATGCACAAGCCGGCGGCGGATTTCAAAATTCAACACTGTGCTGACAATACACCGCAACAAACGGTGTTACTATCGGCCGCACACCGTCTGCATTCATATAATACAAATACAACACATGAACTAACAACACTAACTAACAGCACATGCTATAGTCTTGTACAACACAATCAATGCTTGATTTCAGCACACCACGTACTGTTATAAAACACATTTGTAATTATGAACCAACAATATAAATACAACATATGAACTGACAGCACATGCTATGGTCTTATACAACACAAATACTAATTAATTTCAGCACACTACATAATGTTATACAACACACTATAATTACGAAGCAACATCACATGTAATTCTTATACACAACATGTATTGTGTATAATAAAATTGTGTTATTTATATATATTACGGGTGATGATTTAAAAAATCAGCACGGTGCTGATTTTTCCAATTCAGTACCTTATACGTTCCGCACAAGCCTTCTTGTTTTTAGTAAAGTTCTAAGTTGTCATAATTAGGACTAAAAATGAGTTTTTTGAGTGGAATTTTCTTTCAATATGTACAAATTGATGAAACATATTAATAGCCTACAAAGATTCTAGGTACCCAAATACAAGCCTTTATCTTTTGAAGTGAAGTTTCGATTTGTCATAACAAGAGATTCAAATGAGCTATGCTGATGAAAATTACTCATTGATATATATATATATATATATATAATATGCATTCACACACCATATAAAAGTGACACAAGTGTTCGAGCAAAAGCCTTAGGGCGTGTTTGGCAATTAGCTAATAGCTGTTAGTTGTTACCTGATTTAATTAGCTGATAGCTCAATTAACTAGTTTGACTAGCTGATTCGATTAGCTGTTTGTATTAAAATGTTTGATAAAACAACTGTTTGATATTAGTTGTTTATACATAAAATGACAATTGAGGACATTTCTATTTTATTTTTGTTTCTAATATATTCAATTATGTTCTTTTGAGTTTAGAATATTTAAAATTTTTTGTTATTAGTTATTGAAAATTGTAAAAGTGTTATAAAAGTATTTATTTTTATTAGAGTTAGATTTAAAAAATAATATATTTTTATTAAAATATATAAACAGTTTTTTCTATTAAAAATGATGTAAAATATAAAATAATAATTTTTTCGTGTATATATTTATTATGTTAGTTATCGATTAGTTCATTATATTTATAATTTTCAATAAATTTAATTTATTTAATTTATTTTTAGTATGAAATTTATATAATGTAATTTTAATATAAAAATAAATTATTAATATTAATATTTTATATTTTATGTTGATTTTAATAAATTTATATATTTTACAATTAAAATAATTTATATATAAAAATTAATTATTTTAAATTTATAAAAGTAAAACTATATTATAATAAAATATTCTAATATAATAAAAAATATATTTATTTGTGTAAAATGTATAATAAATTTTGAAGGGCATACAAGGAATAAAAATGTTTTTTACAGAAAAAGCTATTTCAAAACGTTGGGTAAGTTAGCTTTTCAGAAATTAGCTTTTTGGGTCCAAAAAGCTATTTCAAAAAGATAATTTACCAAATACCTAAATTAGTTTTTTGACTGGTCAAACAGCTAAAAGTTGTTCAATAAGCTAAAAGCTCTTAAAAAAAAAAAAAGCTATTTGCCAAACACCCCTAAGGATTTTATAGTCAAGTTTCGACTTGTCATAATAGGGACTCAAAATGAGATTTGTGGAAGAAATTTTGCTTGGTGGCATTTTTCCTACAATGATGTGGCAACATAATATTTAAAAAAAAAAACAAAAAAAAAAAATCTATTTTCGCAAATTAGCCCGATTGAACCAAATTGTAATTATTGTAATTGCAATTTTGTCCAATCAGGCCAAATTGAAAAGAACAAAAATAAAAACCAAAACTCATTCCCTAACAATTAATATCACTCCAAACAAAACTACAAATACCAAATTGAGTTCATAGTGAAAGAAAATAAATAAATTTAGAACACACACTAGAATCCAGTTCTCATCAAACAATTCTAGGAAGTCCGTGAGGCTCGGGCTAAATGATGTAAATGATTGCCTAATATAAAAGCTTAAGCACGCATCTTCTTCATATTTTTTTATTATCTACAACCAACACTTTTTTTCATATGCAAGGAGATATACGCCATCACACGACGAAACTTGCACATGGACACGAAAAGAAATTTACAGTGGCTATTGTTATAAATTTGTTCTTGAATATAAGATGTTAATCTCATCTCTTCTACTTACCGAATCCTTTTATATATATATATATAGAACCTAATTAAATTGTATCAACTCTATGCATGTATTGTTATGTAAGTATTGCGAAGAACACAACAAAACAATGCACAAAACAAGAATTAATTTAGTCATCTAGTTTGGATTAGTTACAGCCCTGCAATCTCGGGTTTTTCACTATATATATATATATATATGAAATCGACCGTAATTTAAATTATACTGAACAACTGAAGGTAAATAAGTAAATATTTCTAAGCTACTTAATTAAATCATAAGCTAAAGAAAAAAACAAAAACAAAAACAAAAACGGATGATAGATGCAAATGGTAATTACAAGGAAACGAAGATAGACATTAAGTAAATCATCCACACATATAACAATAATGTCTTTGGTTTAGAGAAAAATGAAGTACCACTTGCAAATGGTACCGAGCAATATTTCTCCTCATTGCCAAAACCTTTAAAGCTTTCGACTACATATTACCGAATAATTTCTGGAAATCTTTCTTCAACACTTGAATTCTTATTACACTACAAAAAATAGTATATTTGTAACGAAATTTCGTCCCTAAAGTTTACTTAGCTAACATCATTCAATCCCTAATTCCGTCTCTAATATCATTAATAATGAAAAAAGTAAATTTAGGGACGAAAAAACTTTGTTACAAAAATGATATTTTCTTGTAATGTTACCAAATTCAAGCTAGAAGAAATCGATTTAGCAAGTTAGAAGCCACAAAACAATTATGACAACTCCTCAAATTAAAAGTACCTTGGATATATATATATACATACCATCATCATCTTCTTCTTCTTCTGTCCTTACGGCAATCAGTCAGGCAGACTCATTACCTTCATTTTCCTCTTCATCTTCATCTTCATCTTTCTCTGTGTCTTCAGCTTCAGATTCGTCGTCTTCATTTTCATCTTTGTCTTCAGACACCTCATCTTCATCTGTGTCATCTATATCGGAATCATCGGAATCATCAGAGACATCCACCTTGAGTATATCATTTCCCACACTCTGTTGTTCCTCTAATATCTGGTATGCCGAATCCACAGCAGACTTACTGCAATTTGTCAAATGAATTTCACGCAGTGTCGGTATATCTCCAACACCTGAAGGGATTTCTTCCAACGAAGGTACTTTAAAAAGTCCAAGCATCTCAAGCACCGGATAGTGGTATCGATCAGCTCTCCAAGCTACTAAATCACTACCAACAATCCACAATGTTTTTAATCGACGAAATTCCCCTTCAGTTGGATTCCACTCAGAGCCCTCTGCAGTATACCACAACACAAGAACTTCGAGATTAGGCAATGAACCAACCACTGACATACCACTCCAAGGAATTCTGCATTTCCTCATAAGCAGTAATTTGAGTGAATTTGGAAAGCCGATGTTCTGCAATGTCTTTTCGACAGTTAGTCTTTCAAGTTTCTGTAATCTGCCAAGATTACACAAACAAGTATCCAACTCTCTCATACGCTTATCATACGTTATTCCTAGTACCTTCAGATTAGGAATTCCACCAAGAATCTCATCGGTGAGCTCAAAATTCGTTGCACAGTGAAGGGTGTGCAGGTTCTTCAGAATGAAGATATCTTTCTCTCCCACATGAGCAAGATAAGGCTTCGGCAACACCACATCCTTGAAGTCAATAATTCTAAGTTGCGGCATATGCCATATTTCAGATGGTAAAACTACCGAAGATGAATAAGGGAATATCAGACTCTGCAGGTTCCAAAGAAAATGTAGAATTGAAGGAGCAATAAAATTTGGAGAGAAATCAAAGTTAACACGGACACACCGTAATTTAGTGTGCTGCACAAGTGTATCATGAACACTACCAACTGCTTCGAGGGCCATGACCAATCTTAGTCCCTTCGTACGTGAATATGTCACTTTACAGTCACCACAAACCGGGGGATTTTCTTGTGAAGCTGATGGAGGAATGACATCAAGTGCAAGAAGATTTCTTCTTTCTTCTTCTACTGCTGAGCCGCCGCATAGGAAGCACACTCTATTCCAATATCTTATGTCGATGTCTTTTACTCTAGGAGAGCACAAAAAGTCCTCTTTTTTGGATACACTAATGCATAGGTCTCGCAAAAGATCATGGATGCCGCATTTTTCTAATTCCCCCGTGAGTACATCTCTTTCACGCACAAAGAGTAGATTTCTATCGAGAAGATCTTTGAAGTATTCCTCACCAAGTTCTTCCAAACGTTTATCATTTTTTATCTTTATGAAACCTTCATCAACCCATGATCGGATTAGATTGGAGACTTCAATTTGAGCATCTTCGCGAAAAGTTCTCATGTAGAGAAAACACGGCTTGAGATATATAGGCAGATTATTATAACTCAAGAGTAATATATTCAAACAATGCTCGCCATCGCTTGCATTTCCAAAGGAACTTACATTTTCCTCAACTGATTCCCAATATTCTTTATTCATGCCAGACTTTGCAAGTAGTCCTCCTATAACAGTAATTTGCAAAGGAAGCCCTCTACAATTCTCTACAATCACTCTTCCGATTTGCTCCAATTCTGGATGTGAAAATTTTTCTTCTCCGAATACAGTTTGGCAAAATAAACTCCAACTTGTATTTGTGTCAAGAAATGTCATCGGATAAGGGTCATGAGAGCCCAATGAAGCAGCCACTTGTGATAGCCTAGTGGTCACAATAATTCGACTTCCATTCCCATTGTCCGGAAAGAACCTCCTTAAATCATACCAAGCTTGAAGAGTCCATATGTCATCCATTACAATTAAGTATCTTCTGCCATAGAGTTTCTTGCGCAATATTTCCCCAGGCCCATCTGAATTTCCACCATGTCTTTCTACTTTTCCGTCATTGATAAGACCAAGGAGGATCTCGTCGACGCTATACTCCTGAGAAATTGTAATCCAAATGCGCACATCAAAGCGTTCCATGGAATACTTATCTTCATAAACTTTTTTAGCAAGAGTAGTTTTGCCAATACCTCCCATGCCGACAATTGGGATGATTTGGAGATTGTCGTCATATCTAGCTAGCTCACCCTTAATCCTGATCACGTGTTCCTCAAGTCCCACAATAATATTCTTTCCAAGAATGGATGCAGCTGTTGAAGAACCGCCAGCAGGAACAGAAGCTCTGGTTTGTTGTCCAACCACGACCTCTTCAACCATCGATAGCTCTCGCTTGATGTAGTCAACCTTTTGGATCATAGTGTCCAAATCTTCATCGAATGATCTCGCGCCCATATGATCACTACTTTCTCCCTGAGATTCCTTCTGAAGTTGACTCACAACATGTAAGTCAAAAATTTCTTCCATCTCCAAACTAACTTCTGATATTTGCTTCCAAAGATCTTCAGCCTTCTGGCTTTTGCTTCTATGGTTCTTTTCAAGGAACTCCAACAAGAAATTGACACCTTCTTGGAGAGATTTAATCTTTTTTATGTCGACCTGAAGGCGACGAAGCTCAGCACGGTAATGAACGTTGTCGAGGACATGAGAAAGAGAAACCAATGATGCATAAGCAGCTACAGCCATCTCTCGATTCTTACAAACTGCTGAAGAAACTGAAATCCGCAGCTAATATGGATATATTTTTGCACAAATATTGAAGAAACAGTTACTGGTTTGGTTCAGTCTTCTTTGTATATACAGATCCAAACTGAATTTTTCTTTTTTGTAATGACAATTACGATATGAAGCAATTATTATAACATACTTTAATGCCACTAGCTGCAAAAGCATGCTTTAATGCCACTAGCTGCAAAAGCATATTTGGTTATTAGGCATGGGCGAAAAGGAATTGATCGAGGTAGAAGATTCTCATCTAATTAACAAATTTATTTTGCGTTTGTTAGGGTGGTGTTTTTTAGATTTTTATTTTTATTTCAAGTTAATTTTTTTTTTTTTTTTTTTCTGAGTTACTTTTGAAATGAAAAATAGGTTAAAACAAAACAAATGAAGTGTTGATTTATTTATTTATTTTTGCTAGAAAACAACATTTTGTTGTATGGTAATCGATTAAAGAACCTTAACTTTAAGTATCAAAGCTATATAAGAGCACCTGTTATAGTCATTACTCTACTTCATTATATCTTTTATGTCTCTCATCCCTATCATATTTATTTTAACATTCAAATAATTTATATTATAGTAAATCAAATTCAATTCATTATCTTTACTATACTATAAATCCACAATAATTTATTCATTTATATATATTTCCATTATGCAATAATATATATAAACAATATATAAATAATTTATTTATTTATACATATTTTTATATATTTTTATTGTATAATAATATTTTTATATAATATTATATTTTAACTTTTAAATATTTACCTATATAAATTTTAATAAATGAATAATTCAAAATAAATCAACATATATATTAATTAAAAATAATATTAAAAAAGTGAGGAGTGAATTTGTGACCATGATGCCACACATGGTTTACGGTAGAGAATAACAAATAATTTTAAATAGAATTTGTAAATAAATTTTAAATATATATATATATAATACTTCCAGTTGAGTCTGGTTGAGCAGTAAAAGCAATTAAGGCTCGCTTGAGCAAGAAAAACAGTAAAAAATAAGTGAAGTACATAAAGGAATAAAGTGTAAGTAGAGCGGTGAAATAGAGAGGAGCGGGGGTTACTTAGTGGTGAGTGTAGTGAGGATAAGAGTGAGCGGAGTGGACGGGCTGTAAGTAAGCGGTATATATAGTGTGAAAGTGAGCGAGCAATGACTAATAGTAAGAATGCATGTGAGTTGTAATATATTTGATGGTAGGATGGATAAGAGGTGTTGGTGAGTGACTTGTCCATCCTAAATAACTAGATTTTCCTAAATAAAATAAGGGATGATAAAGGTGAAATATCAAAACATATATATTATAAAATGACAGAAGTAAAATGTGTGATCGTACTTGCTCATTTAAATTAGATTCTTGACTCGACTAGTACTTGACTTTAGGGGTGTTACAATGACGCTTAAGCGACACCCAATTAAGAACATTATTTACAAAAAAATCATTGTCACTAAACATTTTTGTGACCCGATAGACAAGCACCTATGTCTAATGAATTATTGCTAAGAAGGTCAAAGAGGCTCTTGTGTACTTAGTTGTCACGAACTACCCACTCTATGTTATAACAATGTGATTGTATGCTCCTTCTATCTTCTTTCCACAATTCATCAAGAATCAAGACTTAAGCGATCAATTACAAACTTGGGTTTTTGAGTGAAAATCGAAGTGAACAAGAAAATGATATTTCATTAATACTACTGGAAACTATAAATCTACATTACAAAACAGTAAATAAAAATAATAAATGAAAGCACTAAATCTGTCTGAAAGAGTAGTACTTAAGGTGGTCAGGAGTGGAGAAAACTCCATTGGTCCTCTGACCTCCTCTAAACTAAAGAAAACTCTTCATAGTTCGGAGCTCTTGAAAACTAAAAGAACGGATTAATAGTATATCACATTAATACTTAAGAAGTAAACATATTTTACAATGAGAAATCGGATCCTATTTATAGAGAAATCAAAGATGGTGGTTGAGTAGTTGAAACAACAGTTAAAATGCTTTTAGAGATAGGTTGTTATCACTATATAATTTGTCACTTGGACGGTTAACTTGTTACAGCCTGTTGGACCAGGGCGGCTCAGAAACAACAGGCCCTTAAGGGTCTATATTTTAAATTATTATTATTCAATTTTTAAAATTAAATTTTAACTTTTAGTTTATATATTTTTTTTTATAATTATTCTATTTAATTTTCAAATTAAATTTTAAACTCTAATTATATATTTTTTTTCTATCTCTTTCTTCTTAACCAGGCTATCTTTCCAAATTTTTCAGACCAAGTCTGTCTCACTTTCTCTCTTATCTCTTTTACCCTCCTTCAGTCTTTCTCGATTTTTGAACTTTCGGCAGACTGTCTTTCATCTTCTTTTCTCAAATTGATATTGTTCAGACATAACTAATTTTGAAAATACATTTTAATCATGTATTGATAGAGCCTATAAGTCCCAAAAAGGTCCGAGACGCCCTAGTTGGAATTGTTATAACTCTTAGCTAGCTCGCTTCACTGCATCCTTTATTATGGACATAGATCTCCCTCCTTGCTTCAGCGGCAGGAGTGCATCAACGTCACTCGAGCTCGGCTGACCTCATTGTGCATCGGACTTGAATGGCTATACCATTGTGAGACTGTCTCGCTTCAGTGGTTGGAAGCTTCGTATCCGTATAAGCTACATTTGTGCAATTTACTGTTTATATATGTATTGTTTCCAAAAATATAAATTGAAGAAAAAATCCAAAAATAAGAAGAGGACTAGTAGCCCGAGCGAAGAGATGAGCCCAAGTTGGTTGAGCCCAGAGGATATAGTGTCCGGGTGGAGGACATCATTAAAGAAGCCTAGTGATGAAATATTGAACTAGGGCTTTCTTCAACCGTTAGAGCAAGTGCAATAGTCATTAGAAAAAAACTGCCTCTAATTCTTACGTGTCATCTGACACAATTCACTTTAAAAACTAAAATAAAAATGGATTAGATGAATTTTAATGACTTGGGCTTGGTTTCTCTACCACCAGATAACATGGTTGCTGCTTTACTTTCTGAATTTTCAGATCTGTTCTATTGTGTGATTTTTTATTTTATTTTTTTGTTGAAATTTGAAATTAAAAGCCTCACACAATATAGTGATATCTCTAAATTTTGTTTATTGTATACGCTCTTACCAACCATTCAAGGAGCTTAGAGTTCCACAAGTTATGACTTTTAAATGAGGGATCATTCATGAGTTAAAGGGTTTCCGCGGTTAAGAGGTCAAATTATTAAAAGGACATGAAAGTTATGGAAGTTACAGTTGTGTAAATAATCTTCATTAATGGCAGAAATTATAGAAGTGAAGTTTCTACCGTATAAAAGCCAGGAAATAAGGATGAAGAAGTATCCTCAGCCAACAACACAAATTTTCAGCTTATATCTTTTTTTATCTTTATGTTTCTTGTATTTTTTTTCTTTTATCTTTATCTTTCTATGGATTTTATTGGATTTTAACGGACAATTATGAAAAATTTGTACATGAGAAAATCTCTCATGATAACTAGAGATTTGGATGGATTATTAAAATTATTATTATTATTATTATTATTATTATTATTATTATTATTTATTATTGTTGTTGTTGACAATATATAAGTGATAAAGAATATGGTAATATTTATTAATATCAATTTAAATATTTAATAAAAAAGTAATAATTTAAAAATAAAATATATTAAGAAATTATTATCAACTTTTTTTCAAAATATGTATTTTATATTATAAATATAATATTTGGAAATTACTATTATCATAATAAATATGTATTACTGTTTTTTTTATTATTATAGAATACACTGTATTGTCGGTATAATTAACTAAATATAAACCGCTAGTTATATTTATTTACTTCTTACTTTTTAATTTTATTTCTTATGAAAAATTGTAAATGCAATTTTTTATTTTTGGTGTGATTGTTTTGTGAAATCTTTTGAAGGGATATTTTTTTAAGTATAAGGAATTGTGCATATAATATAAAAATAATGAATGTGTGTGATATATTAATTTTGTAATTTATACATTAATTTTTTACAAAATTTATTACATAAGAATAATAATAATAACTAACAAAAAATATAAAAATAAATTGATATATTGAATGATAATATAATAAAAATTATAAAATTTAAAATATAATATAGAAAATAGTAGCATTATATATGTTACAATATTTTTATATCGTTAATAATTATATATTATTTATTAATATTACTTATATTTTATAAAATATAATAAAATATAATAAATATATTATATTTGTAAACTTTGTGTTACATAAGTTTATACAATTATATAAATCAATAAAAAAAAATATATATTTTTTACAATTCTACAAAATCTATATAAATTCATAAAAAAATCCATA